AAACAGCATACCATGTATGGATGCACAGCCGAAAAGACAATAACGTCAGCAGGAGATATCGTCAACCCATTGCCCATCATAACAGACTTGGTGACCAACTCCTCATTCAAATCTGCAAGAGCCTTACTCCTTGAGTCGGGATTCGCCAAAAAACTGTCAGCAAACTCGATCCATTTCGTCAGCTGCCACCCCAAAAAAGTTCATACATCAAAACCCACATTTTCAATCCAACATTAACCTCAACCACCATCAAGTCACCCACAGAAAGAAAGTTATACAGCAATGACTGCATATACTACCTTAGTAGCGTCCTCATTCGTCAAAATGCTTGCGCAGAGGCTCTTAAAGTCTCTGCCCGAGTCACTGGCGTATGGCTTCTGCGCGAACGAGTGCGAAAAAAGTATGATTTCCCAAAACCCTCCATTTTCTTCTCAAAATTGATTAATTTCTATGAAGCAAGAAAGAAAAAACCAGATAGCTTACCGGGTCGATAGAGAGGTGTTTACAGAGGGCGGAGACGAGATTTTGCTTAGCGGAATCCATTGCTATGAAAGCTGACAATCTTCAATCGATTGCCAATTGCCTGTAAGCACAGAACTCTCGAAGACGAACGATTCAAAGTTTAAGCTTTCACTGTTCCAATTCAACCACGCGAAATGTGCTATTAGGGTTTTCTGATTNTTGATCTTCTTAGTGGGCCACTTTTGTTCAGTCCACGAACAGCCCAAGTGTGCTCAACAGAGATTTCCGCGCCATATTCAAATTAACTTTAATAGTAAATTATTCATCCTAAATGTTATCAAATTGATGCGAGGATTTGACGAATTAAATTCGTTAATTAATTTATTTGGTCATAAACTTATTGGATTATACTTTTTTTAATCAAAAACACACATTGCTGAAAAAAAAAATGTGAATAAAGTGTTTAAAAGAAAAAAACAAGTAGCACTTACAAATTTTCACCATTTATCATATATTTATTTAGCAAACTGTTAATAGAATATGCTAATCAAATCACTGCTATTTGCCACACTTATTTAAGGAACCATTAATAGAATCCGCAACTATTAGCTAATATCCACACTGTCAATAGAGGGGAATATGATGAAACAAGAACACACCAAAGTTTAAGAAAAAGAAAGAGAGTAAACAAGAAAAATAGTTTAGATTTTGGGTGTATTATGAGTGAGTTTGAGAGTGTTTTGTAAACACAAGTGCATTTCTTTTCTCTTAATAAAATATTTGCAGCAGTCCGGAGACGTAGGCATTATTGGCGAACTCCGTTATCAATTAAATCCTAACTTCATAAAAAATTGAACGTATTTTTTCCAACACAAACTAGATTTTCTTCTTATTTATTTAAATAGTGTAAAAGTATTGGTCAATTCAGTTCCTTTGTACACTTGATTTCAATACATACTTGTACATCAGCTTCCTTGTCCTGATTTTTAGGCAGATCAACTTATTATATTATTTTTCTTTTTTTACAAAAATGAATATTTGTACTTAAAATTTAAAAATGTATACTTTTGATATTGTTATTTTTTAAAGTATGTTACTTGTGCAAGAAAATATGAACATTTGTTAAAAATATAAAACTGTCTGAAATAGTTAGGCATGTAAACCATCAGCTTTTTCATAAAATTTATTAAGAATTTGGAAACTTGAACATATTTCAGCAATACTAAAGCAAACTCAACTAAGTTGATCTTATAGGCTGTTACTTTACATCAAATATGAAGATAAAGCAATGCAAGCAGCAGAGTACCAAAACATTAGAAATTAAAACAAGATTTTATCACACAATTTGATGTGATTATGACCAAGATTTGTAAAACCTTTGTATTTCAAAACTACTATACCCTGTATAGTGTATACCCATAAATTTAAGTTTATTTCAAAGAAAACAACAAATTAAACTGTACACTAATTATTAAAGGATACTGTAAACAAAAATAAGGTTTGGTAAGATTATTATTCTGAGATACATGGATGAATAAGAACAGAATATAAAATATTTGATTTGGCCAAAAAAAAAAAAATATATCAGGCTGGGACATAGGACTCAAGCAGCAGTTTTACATGAGAAGGTGATGTGATATCAACAATCAAATAAGTGAACTTCCATTTCCTATCAGCCTTGTCCTTGAACATCTCGGCCCCGACTTTTCCAGCTCCATGCGGACCACGAACATAGAAGTTAACCTGAATTTAATTCCTCGAATTTTAAGAAAAATCCTATGTCCAGATGTTAATGACAGTAAAAGGATTAATCACAAATGCTCGTTGAAGCTTTCGCCAGTTTATCAAAAAGCCCTCAATTATCGCTCGATTGTGTATAAATAAATACATTAGCTAATAGAATATTACACAATTAAGAAACTCTCGACAGGAAGAATGTGAAGCCAAAAGATTGTATGAAAAATCCATTTGTTTATTAAAAGATAATTCAAAAGTAGACAACAAAACTAAAATNNACACCTCAACATGCTCATTGCCATCTTCATCTGTCCACGTGCGATTCGGTATTCGTTGGCGGGCAGCACGATTCATGCTTTCTTGGCCATAGCCAGTAACAGGAGATCCAATTCTTACTCTCACCTGTTAAGAGGGATAAGTTCAGTTAATCCTTTAATCCAATCTAATCACGTAGTATATCAACACCTTTGACTAATAAACAACTTTCTTAATTGTCGAATATCAAAAGCGGCTACTTCCATTGACTGCTAAAGCTGTATATTCATGTTAGGACTCTCAGTCGATTTCTATCTCGCCCAACAATGTCCCAGATGGTTAATAGATTTTAAATCAAAGGAAAAGTTGTAAACAAATAGAAAAAGAACAAGATTAGGTCAAAACTCAAAACCTGACTGTCATTTTGAATTCTTTCAAGAGCCTTCCCAAATATTTTGTACCTAAAGAAAAAATTAACACTTCGTTAGTAATGAAAATACGGAATGTTTTGCTTACTGGAATCGAGTCAGAACAAAATAAGAAAAGAAAAAACGAAAATGAAAATGAAAAGCCTACTTGAAATTGGAATCCTTACTCTTTGGGTTCGAAGATAAGTTCCTTGAAAACAGCATATCCTGCAGCAGCTGCAATCCCGAGCCCAGCTAAGATGACAACACTGTAAGAAGCTCCCTCGGTGAATGTCACAGGCCTCTCGGGTATGTTGTACGTTGGAGCATCAAATGGATCCTCAATTTTTGAAACTTCTTTTCGAGCCTGTTTGAGGATTAACAAGGAGTCGTTAGACAATGAAGTTATCTGTATACCAGCTGGGCAAGCTCATCCAAAATTGAGGAATATATTTTCTTGCTTCTTTTTTGTCATTTTCTGCTGAATCTTGGGCAACCCTGAATGGTTTTCTGGAGTTGTGTTGTTAATTTATCTGTGTAAATTATTTTAATTCTCCAAAATCACAATAATTAGAACTACACTGCTCTGGGAACAACACAAAGAGAAAATGAGCTCTATTTCATTACATAAGCACTGGTTTTTAAACTAGTATCATCATCTCCTGGATAACAGTTATAATTTATAAACTAGTTGATTGATTATCACAAGGGCTCGAACACAAGGTGAAAAACACAATCTAAAGCAAAACGTTATAAAATACAACAATTCTTTTTTTTTTTTTTTT